TTACAGCCGGACAAAGAAGACAATTGTAAGTCAATCCTGCCATTTGGCCTTTTTGAATTTTTGCAAACATTATGGTATCGCTCCCCGATTCTGCAATCTAATAAGGAAGTGTCATTCGGACACAGTTAATGAGATATTTTATCTCGCCTCCATCCAGAAATTAGAGGAAAATTACGAGACTGAGAGGCGTAAGCTATTTAAGTTCATAGATCTCAAGTCTAGATTAAGAAAGGATCTAGGTAGGGTTCTCAGTTTGGATGATTTTCAAAATGCTCCAAGGCATGATGGACCAGAAGCCGCAGAGGGTCCGTGATCTGATAAGTAAGCGACATGACAAGAAATTGCTTAGCTATGGGATAATAAGACCGAGCCAACCAGGGCAAATTTTGATGGTTCTTTATCGAAGGCATCAACTGCTACATACGACGATAGGACTAAGGTTGTAAACCTATCTTCAATCCCTCTTGATTATGAAACTACGGATCTCTTTAAGTAGGGGTTACATTATTCACCAGATAATGAAGGAAATGTATAGTGATATCTTGGTAGAAGTTGTCAACATAACGGATAAATATCCAGAAGATACAAGGCAGGAGATGGAACTGGAAATAATCCCATGGATCCTGACACATCAAGAACCGATACACAGGAGCAGATTGACTGGTATACGAAAAAAAACTACAAAAGAATTATCAAATAGTTCTTCAGGCGGCTAAGGAAGGAGCGACGGTTGTAATGAACAGGAACCAGCACACGGAGAAAATGGAAAGTATCCTTGCCGACCGGAAGACTTATGAGTTTTAAGGAAGGATCCGACCACGAAGATCAATGTAACATTGAAGAATATGTTCAAGGAAATGCATAATAATGGGGAACTTGACAGATGGATGATGAAATCTTTAATAGAAAATGACGCAAGACCACCAACAGCCTACGGACTACTGAAGATACACAAGGAAGGGAATCCGCTAAGACTAATAGTCAACAACAAGCATGGAGTAATAAACAAATTAGCGAAATTCATTTGCTTGAAGCTCAAAAAAGTAAATGACAGACTCTCGAATACCGTCAAGAATTTGTATGAATTTTCTCAAAGGATCCAGAAC